TTGATATTTTGTAAACTGTATTTATGACAAAGAACAGAACTGCACAGATGCAGATATTATAACAATCTATCGTTAAACACACACCATGTCCTCTGTTTCTCGCTCTGCGCCGCCGCGTTCTGCTGATTGAAAAAGAACGCACTGAAAGACGGGGAGGAGCCGATCGAAGTCTGCAGCCGTTTTCATATGAAATTAAAGGGGACTGAGGCGATCACGAGTTCGTGTTCATTTTATGGAGCTAATCGCAAAATTTTAGGGGGGCTGAGTAGTCATTTTAGGGGGGCTATAGCACCCCTTAAAATGGCCTAGCAACGCCCATGGTCAAATGTAATTTATGTAATATTTAAAACCTTTAACCCACTGGGGAAAATCAACCCATGGCAACAGTTTAAAATCAGCAGTTTAAAATCATACGTTGACCAATAGCAGCACAGAAGCTCTTTCATACACAGGTTTCAAACATGGCAAAACAAGAGAGAGATGATGTTGCTGCTAGGTGGAATTATGAGATGGAGGAAAGGTTCGTGGAGCTGTGGCAACAGTACTCCTGCCTGTATGATGTGTCATCGAGGGACTACCACGACAGAACAAAGAAAGAAAAATGCTGGCGAACTATAGCGGAAGCGCTTCAGCAATGTTTACACTCTTGTTTTCAGAAGTCAGTCGCTAGTTCCGCCTTCTCGATGACATCACGCGCGTCGTTAAAGATGGCACGCGATGAATGGTCGGGAAGCAACGTGTAGTCTGACATGTTTCTTGTCCACGACACAACAAGATTTTAGGAGTCAAAATCGTGTAATCTGACACAGTGACTATCGTAACCGACAAAAATATTGTGTAGTCTGAACCCGGCATTACACAGTGTGCGTGCGATCGCGAAATCGAAAGTGAAAGTGAACTGCGACTGCCAGCGCTCATTCAAAAGTCATTTAAATACCCCACATATTGATAGCGGCTCCCTGATGCGCAAAAAATTATATACAATATTAGAATGTTTGCGGGAGCGGACACAAAAATTGCGGGAGCTGATGGGAGCGGGCGGTATTGGTCAGAAATTCAGAGAGAGCGGGATCAACAAGCCCCGCGCTATCACGCAGCGGTGCAGTCAGTCAGTGAGCGCCGTAACAGATGACGTCAAATCTTGCAGGATTCCATAAATAAACTACACAGAACCCCACTATTCGACAAATATACATAATGAAAAGGTGATACAAAATTTAATACTTTGGAAAATTGCATTTAAGACTTTTTAATACTTTTTAAGGGCCTTAATTTTCTCTAAATTGATTTATCAACTTTTAATACTTTTTAAGACCCCGCGGACACCCTGATGTAACATCAGGGGTTCGAGAATACATTTTGTGCACAAAGATTTCTTTGATCACAAAAAGTATTCTCGTAGCTTTGTAAAATTACGGTTGAACCACTGATGTCACCTGGATTATTTTAACGATGTTCTTACTGCGCTTCTATGCCTTGACCGTGGTAGTACCCTTGCTGTCTATGGGAGGGTCAGAAAGCTCTCGGTTTTCATCAAAAATATCTTAATTTGTGTTCTGAAGATGAACGAAGGTCTTACATGTTTGGAACGGCATGAGGGTGAGTAATTAATGAATTCATTTTTGGGTGAACTAACCTTTTAACATCCATGGAACCATTGCATTGAATAAAAGGTTCTTTAGAGTGGAAAAAGCTTCTTTGAATAAGCAAAAAGTTCTTTAAATTAAGAAAATGATGGTTCTTTCACAAATAGTTCACTGAAAGGTTCTTTGGGGATCCCAAAATGATGCTTTTATGGCACTGCTCCAAAAACTCACTTTTGGAACCTTCATTTACCACAAAAATACTGAAGCTTTTTGAGTTTCAGAGAGGAAGCATCCAATTAGCTCAAAGCATTGTTTTTAGTTGGATTTGTTTGATTCTTTCAGGTTCAACAAACCTGAAAGAATCAGATTGATCCAGATCTCAAGTTTAACTTAACTTAAAAGGATTGTTCACCCAAAAATGAAAATTCTGTCATTAATTACTCACCCTCATGTCGTTCCAAACCCGTAAGACCTTCGTTCATCTTCCGAACACAAATTAAGATATTGAGATTAAGATGAAGGTCTTACAGGTTTGGAAAGATATGAGGGTGTAATTAATGACAGAATTTTCATTTTTGGGTGAACAAACCCTTTAAAGGGGTGGTTCACTGGTCTTTTTCTAGGCTTGATTGTGTTTATGGGGTGCAGTCTAACATGTGTTAATGCTTCGTTTTAAAAAAAAAAAACATTATTTTTCACATAATTTACCTTTATTCCACACCGCTCTGTCCCTTCTCTGAGAAACGGGCTGATCTTTTCCTGTTTTTATGAAGTCCCGCCCTCAGAAATAGGCGATGGGATCTGATTGGTTAGCTAGCCCAGTGTGTTGTGATTGGCTAAACCGCCACTAGTGCGCGTCTAAACGTTCCGCTCCTCACCTCTGCGCATGTGCTCCGGTTGTATTACTAACGTTAAAAAAGTGAAATCGCAATCAACCACCCCTTTAACACAAACACAACAACTTACCAGAAAGAAGGATATACATTTATGAAAGAAAAAAACATAAATTTAACGACATTAGGTTAAAAAAAAAGATGACAATTTCCATTTCTGGATGAACTACTCCCTCAACCAAGAGTGTTCATTGCACTAAAACTGCTTACTAGATAAAATGAACTGCCAATTTCCATCAACACAAAAAGACATCAAATGAAGCCAAATAGGTAGACTGTGTACCTAATTCTATAAACCGCATACAGGCGCATTGATTTGCTGATGGTATGTACTAACAAAAACAATATGCAATTGTGTTAAAAGCCAGGGAAGTAAAGACAGGACAGGAAACAGGGAATTGGCATACTCTTCAAACTCCATTAAGCTGGCCTAATGCGTAGAGGGCTGGGAACTTACTTAATAATACACACAGATACACGCCAGGACATCTGAGTTCACAGGGATAAGGCTTTGCAGAACATGCTAGCCTAGCACATAACATTAAGTTCTGTCAGCTCCATCTGTGAACTAGTAATCTAGTGAGCAAATAAAGTGTTATTATGTCAGCGAGGAGGTTGTGAGATGCATCTGTGTACAGAATCTCCTGCTGTGAGGATAAGAAAGATAAGATCATCACATCTATGAATTTGAAACTTGGCGGAGCTCTAAACAAACCAAAAATATTATGCTCATTATGTGAACCAGCTGTTGTCATTTAGTCGCTGACATAATCACATTCACATTCCTGATGACTGTTCTTGCTTAGTCATCCCATGTGTGGACACCAGTGTGTGCGTGAGGCAGTCCATACTGTGAGTTGTAACTGTGTAGGAGAGACACTTTATGTGAATTTGTGTATGACTTCCACTTTGTTGGTGTTTTCCACGCTGTTTTGGTCACTTCTGGCAACAAACGGCCACATTCAGCATTATTATCTCGTACATCTATCGAATATACAGAATTTTTGAACTGGCAAAACATTGGTGCCCTGTAGCATTCGGTCAGTTTCAGCAGATTATTCCAATAACCAAATTAGATGGTTAACGTAAGGGCTTTCCCTCGTTGTGTCCATTTTAAAATCCACCAAATGTTTATGATTTTACGATTTCTAATTGAAATTAACTAAAGTTGAATATTTTGTTATCATTTATTCACCATCTTCTTGTTTTAAACCTGCATGACTTACTTTCTTAAAAGAACATAAAAGAAGCTATTTTGAGAAATGTCTCCGTGTTTTTTTGTCCACACAAATGTTAATGACACCCAAAAGTGTTTGGTTACCAACATTCTTTTGTGTTCCGCAGAAGAAAGTAAGGCTACGTTTACACTAGTGCGTTTTCGTTTTAAAACACATAACTTTTGCTACAGTTACGCCTGTTGTTTGCACTACTCCGGCGTTTTCAACCCTCGAAAACGGAGACTTTCGAAAACACTGCAGACCCCGGTTTTGTCTGAAAACTCTGGGGTTGCGTTTCAATGTAAACGGAACAAAACGGAGAATTTTGAAAATGCCATTTTAAAATGAAAGCGCACTAGTGTAAACAGGGCCTCAGTCTTACATGTTTGGAATAACACGAAGGTGAGTAAACAGTGACAGAATTTTCATTTTGGGGTGAGCTATCCCTTTAAAGCTCAATGTAAATATTAATTTACATATTAATTTTTACTGTGAAAAACGCTTCTGTTAACTGGTGAAGTTGGTTGTTTGATTAATCTGCTGAACATTACCAAATATTGGTGGATCAATCAGCCTGGCTGATATACTGACTATAACTAGTCCAGTTAATGGTGCTACACATTACTCTCTTAAAGCTTTTTGTTATACATGTGTTTTAAACTGCTTATGACATTTTCCCAAAGGATCTGGTCAGCATATGTGCCCTTGTTACATAACATAAGTGTGCTGTCTTATATTTAATTAACAATGAATAGACAGACAGATAAACCTGTTCTTTAAACACGTTCCAGAAGTCATAAAAGAGTAAAGGTTATCTATACAAGACCTAAACTTTGTCTTCATTTTTATTTGTTTCGGTTCAATAAGATTTCATACGAACAATATTCTGGCAAACCACCGTGATGAGTGTTAGAGAAAACATAAATATTGGTGTTTAACACAGAGCAGGTCACAAAACAACTCAAGCTATCAAGCTCAACAGGGCTTTCCAGACGAATTGCAGTATATTTAGTGTACAACCCAAACACTTTGGCTGTGTTTAGCCACCAATAATGCCCCTTTACACTATAATGGAAGAGAAATTACCCCTCAGATGAAGGGTGGATGGGGGGGGGGGGCTCCATCACTTTAGAGATAAACTCCATTCAGATGGGTTTAGTAAAATTGAATGCATCTGTTGGGTCTGAAAAGCAACTCTATTGTCTGTCTCCCAAATCCATGGGATTATTTTAGTATAATAAAACACGTGGGAGGTTTTAGTAACTAACTAGAAGGGTTAGTTCTGTAACTAGCAGTCAACTTACTTGGATGGAGTCATTTGCCATTGTTGTCTCTGGATTGTCGTTTGTGCCAGGACACCCAAATTGTCGTTCCCCCTCTTCCTAGATTCTCAGTGATCGACGACAAAGAGACCCTATCCTTCTGTCAGCTCTCAATGCAACAGTTTAAGATCCAGCAGCGCTTGAACAGCTTATTAAAACTCTGTGCATGTAATAAATGCTGTTGCATCACCGTCAGACCAGATGCAGCTTGTCATCTGGACATAACCGAAGCTATTATGCGCTTTCCTTCTATGCAAAATAAAACATCTGCATGTAAAACATTACATAAATGCATCAGCTATATAATTAACAACGTCCATTCAAACTATCCTGTGACATCTCCACAGCTTGCAGGAAAGTGTCGTGTATTTTTCCATGATAGCGTCCTGGAGTAGTTATTGTGGCGTAGCTCGATACAGCTGCATACATGCACCGCGCTGGGCAGGGTAGCTGGTCAAGAGTTCAGCTTTTCTTCTCAATTCATCACCGGAAAACACCGACGCGTCTATTCAGTTCAACTGCTGTCTGATCATCAACCGAGGCCCGAGGAGTTCACATTCACACCCAGTGAATAATACAGCAATCTGCTCCTCTGTAAGAGATACTGTCGCTGCTCGGCTCTGTGTGACTCGCGCCAGTGATGATCGCTCGCCTCGCGCCGCGCGGGAGGGTCGGTCGTCCACTATCCCCGGGCGCGAGCGTTGTGGACGGTCACGTGACCTCGCATTGTGTGTCCACAAGCAAATGAATTTGGTTTCATCACTCTCTCGTCGTAGGCAACATTTCAAACTGTTGATTCACACTGCAAAGTATATGTTCAAAGGTTAGAGTGGTTAACAAATTTGTGTTTTTAAAATAATGTTATTTATTTAACATACGCTTTTAAATGAGCAAATTCATCTAAGACCAAATTTATTAAAAACTAAGAATTATATTTACATATTAAATATGATACTACTCTCGAGTGTGCAAGTACTCTTTATTTTCTCTTAAAGACCCCATGAAATCAAACTTAAAGTGATAGTTCACCCAAAAATTAAAAATACCTCATGATGTGCTCACCCTCACGCCATCCTACTGTAGGTGTATATGACTTTATTCTTTCAGACAAATACAATCGGAGATATATTAAAAATTGTCTTGGCTCTTCCAAGCTTTGTAATGGCAGTGAATGGGGGTCGAGGTTTTGAAGCAAAAAGTGCAAAAATCCATCATAAAAAGTGCTCCACACGGTTTTGGTGGGGATAATAAAGGCCTTTCTGAAGTGAACCGATGCATTTGTGTAAGAATAATGTCCATATTTAACACTTTATAAACGGTAATCTCTAGCTTCCACTAACTCGTACATGCGTACACAAAAGTGGCATTCAAACTGATATCGTAGGAGGTACCTTACGAAAAATAACCATTTGTTTTGCTACAAATAAAACCAAAAAACCATGGTTACTAGTTAAACCATGGTAACCACAAATTAATCATGGTTTTGCTAGAATTAACATAGTTTAACCATGGTATTTGTAGTAAAACTGTGGTTATACAAATGGTAATCACTACGCCAAAAAAACATGGTTACTACACTTTTACTACAATAAAACCATGGTACATTTTTCCACTTGACCACTTGTCGTTTTGTTCCCTAGTGTTAAAGTGGGTGTGAAGACCACAAGTGTGTGTGTATAACTTTTGATTACATGATTTGGAACACACTTATAATGTTGCAAGAATGCAAGAATTTTTTACAGAGCTTTATTTACACATGTCATAATACCTACACATAATTGTCTGTGCACCAATAAAATAATTCAAACTTTACGTTTTACTATTAAATTGTATGTAATATTTTATTAATTTAGCTGAAACTGGAAAGTTTTCATTACAATCTTAAAAATTAAAAACAAAAATCACGACTTTATTCAACAATTCGACTCCTCCGCATCACCCTAGTGCCATTTGAACAAAAACAACATATCCACGTGGCACACCTGACACAGAGCATACACTGTTTACGTTCAGTGGATACTCTCCAAAATGGCGCCAGCTTGACGCGGAGGAGACGAATTGTTATTATTTTACCGATCTCCTTGCTACGTTTCTGGACCTTGATCGTGGTAATTACATTGCTGTCTATGGGAGGGTCAGAGAGCTCTCAGAATGCATCAAAAATATCTTAATTTGTGTTCCAAAGATGAACGGAGGTCTTACGGGTTTGGAACGACATGAGGGTGAGTAACTGATTGTCAGAATTTTCATTTTTGGGTGAACTATCCCTTTAATATCCAATTACATTACAGCCTTGACGTCACTGAATTTCAGTCAGAATTGTGCGACACTTGATCGCTGTTTACGGATACCATAGGATTGAATGAGAAGTGCCATAAACTGAATCCCACCTGTCGCAAAAAGTCAGCGACTTCTCTTATAAAACGCCATTTTATTTCGGTGTAAACTCTAAAAATAGTTAATTCCAAAAGTACTGTTTAGTGTAAAACATGTTGAAGATTAGCAGACAGGCTGTCGATTCATTAAATGATAAGCTGTTTCCTCTAAAAAGTTGTTTATTCGGCATAGTGAAGCCTCTCCTCCATTGACATCCATTAAAAAAAAGGCCTCTGGTCTCCTTTCCCACCTAAGTTACTGGCAGACCGGAAGCGTTAGCATTAGCCGTTATGCTTTTTTGGCTAAAGGTTTCAGGCTTGCCTTCTAGTGGCTTTGGTATATTCATATCTATACTGAACACCCTCTGGCTCAGCCTGCCACAGTAGCCACGCCCCAAACTCTCGCTATTGGCTGCACAGAGGTATGCAAATACATAGGTTGACAGGACATTGCTATCATTGGATTCGGACCTAATGAAATTATTTTATGGTCCTGAGCCTTCCGCAGAAGATGAAGAATGTATAAGAATATTTATAAAATATATTTTTTATATATTTATATTTATGCCGTGAAGAGACTTTCAACCAGTATAACAAAAATTACATACACTAGACTGTTTTCGTGGTCCCAGCAGGATCAGAATAGGAAATACAAATATGGTCATCATGAGTGGTCTTGGAAGACGGTTGAGGAAATACAAATATGGTCAAGATGAGCGGAACTACTAACGGAAGAGGAAATACAAATATGGTCATAGTAAGTACTTAACTCAGTTTTCTTAACCGCGACAGTTTCCACAGTTAACCTTATTTTTTTGTTAATTCGGTTAGTCACTGGTAAAATACAGTGCACAGACTTACATTATTGGACAAAGTCAACAATTAGCCGTCAAAGTTTGTGAAATTACAGGTATGACATATTTTAAAAAGCATAATAATCTTGCTTATCACTTTAGTGCTGCTGTCACGTGTACTAGGCTAATTGGCGTTTACAGGCGATTATCGATTGTGTTGCAACTGTGCAGTTTTCAATTACTTTAAAATGTATTTTTGCTTACTTTTTTCTCACAGAGTTTATTTCTTTCATGGTTTCGTGCTGGATTGATTAAGTCATGATGGCTAACGCAGAACATGCGGAGTTGAAGTCTTCACTATCCGAAGAAAATGAAGCATCCCAGTCTCTGACAGAATTAGAAACGAATACACAGACTCTTGAAGGTAATGAAGGGAAAAAATGTAATTATTCTCAAAACCCAGCACACTGATGCACATAATATTGCTCTTGTTTACAGAAGTCAATGCAATGGCGCCCTCGTTCGGCGATGAGAAGTGTTTCTTAGTTGAAGGTGCAGAAGGCACAGAAACTCAGGATAAGAGAATAATGGATGAAAAAATCTCCCCCATTGAAAGGCAACTTGAGTACTTGCTGAACAAGGCGGATGAGTTTCAAACACAGCTTTTATGGAGGTGCTTTTAAGATCTAGAAAAAAACATTTAGATTTTTTTTGGTCTTCTTTTTAACATTCAAATATTTTTGTATGTTTTAGCCGAGAGTGCCTCCAGAATTATGGGTTTGCCCATGTTGTCCCCATGTTTTTGCAAACTTGTCAGCCGTACTTCACTTACCTGGAGTCCACAGCCAGAAACTCCAACCCCTTCCGTCCACCTCTGTCCACATATATACGCACACAAGTGAGAAACTGATTTATTCTGCACATCTTACGCCACAAACTGCAGGAATACACATATTTACTGTATTTGTATCCCATCTCAGCTTTTGCAGTTTTCTCAGCAACTGTGTTCTCGTCTGGAGCAGCTGGTGTTGCTGTATGCCTCCTTCAGTTTCTTCTCACTAGAGGAATCTGATCCACTGAGGTACAATCCGATTATAAATCACAGACAAAACTTAGGCAGATATAAATGAAGGTGAGGATTCAGAAGAAACTGATCCTTTATTAGCACAAAAGGAAGGCCTGATTTTAGTATAAGTAGGATTCCACATTGGGATATTTCTATTACTATTATTATTTCCTTCATTGCAGATTTTTACTGTATCTTTTTTTTACAGTATCTCTCACTTCTACATTGGCCAGTGTCAAATAGACAACATGAAGCTGTCAATCTTCTGGTACTGTTGCCCTACCCCCTTTCTTGCGTCAGCCAGTACCGGTCTATACAAACGTATGCGCTGGAATGTGGAGCGACAGATAGAGGGAGAAGGACAGACATATGACAGTGCAGAGTTGTAAGTGAGGTTTAGTCAGAGAGAATCTTTTAGAAAGGGATTCTTCCATTTCTTTGAAAAAAAAGAAATGAAAAGAAAAGTAGAATGCACATTTTATTTATTTAGAATTTATTTATTATACAGAATAATAATAATTCTTAGGTAATAACACAGCCCTGAATCTTGAAAAAAGTTTCTGCTGATTTTGCACATACACAATAAGATATATATATCAGCTTTAATGCACTTGTCCAAATGACAAATTTTTTATGACAAAAAGAAGCAATCAAAATGTATAATGTAACTTACAGTCCTGCAAAGGAGTGGAAAAAGTGGAAATCAGGATTAGGCTAAAATAATATCTTTGAAATCATTCATACATGTGAAAATGGGCTGAGAATTTAACAAATAGTTGTGACCTGGCTCAGAGGAAGTTTTTCTGGTGATTAAGGGATAATACGAGACTTCTTCACCTTACAAATGGTTGTCTGAAGCAGAAATGCTACCAAATGCACACCATATTTCGTGAGAAAGTGTGATGTGCTTGAGTAAAGCAGGCACTATTTTTGGAATCAGCACCCCAAAATTAGTAAGAAATGAGTATTGGATTTTATTCAGCAAATATGACGCAGGGTGGTGTAATAATTTTTCAGCACAAGCAATATTAGCATATGCAGAGGGAAACTAAAATGACAGTGTAGAAATAAGTACAGCCTTATGTATTACATTTTAGCTTATTAACACCAAGAAAATAAAAGTACAAGTTTAAATGCCAATAAAAAACCTCAGGATAATTATGAAAACGAGAAAATAAGTCTCACAGAGCCTCATTTTGGCAGGGGATAATGCCATAGCCTATCTTCATCTTTACATCAACCATTTCCTACCTTCACAGTTACTTCCTGTGCTGCGAGGATGTCATTGAGGCAGCAGATGATAAGGATGGAGACGGAAGGTGCGAGGGAGAAAATACAGAAACTGAGAGAGAGAGTAGAGTAGAGAGGATTTGGTCTATTGGCCGGTGGATTCAGACATACCCTGATCCAGACACAGAGGACATCACTGATTGGTAATGTATTTTTAACTACCTTCAGTTTAATAGAAAAAGATGGCTAAACAATGATTAAATGAGTTATAGTTACTTATATTAGTATCTAATCATACATTATTTTATAATACGGTTGTTACTACAGTTTCTAATTTCCACAATAAGTCAAAAACCAAAGCTAATCCTAGATAAGCATACGTCCAATTAGAGATCATTTTGAGGGCAACTATTAAGCAATATGTAACTTAGAAATAACAGTTAACCCTAGATGAAAAATTCATTCTGTGTATATGTTTTGTAGGGTGCTGTGTTCAGTTCCTTGTGGTCAGTACAAGCAGCTGTTGTGTCTGGGAAGTGAGGAGCCTTCATCCTGCACTGCCACAGACTGCCTGATGGGGGTGCTGCTGTCTCAGGAAACAGATGGTACATTTGGCATGAAAACATGAGGTGGTGCTCACTTAGGGGCCTCACCCATTCTGGATAGAGCATTTGGTTTATTCAAATCAGATGCGAGTACAGATTGAAGTTAAAAATCTAAGGTCTGTAAATGTTTGCAATTTTTCAAACGTTTTTTAGTTCATGGCTGTTATTGTTGTGCCATGTTGGTTTGTTATGTGGTGAATAATTTACACTAGTGATGGAAAGTTCGTTAAACAGAGTAAAAGTTCAAGATTAAATGTCAAACCAACTTTATTTTTCATGAAAACATTCAAATACAGTGGCTATCCAAGTAGTCTGTTACAAAATCCAGAAATAAAACCTGCTGGCAGTCAAGGTCCACTGCGTACTTTTCTCTATAAAACAAAGAAATATAACAATCCTTCCTTTCAAAATAATAAATTACAAAAATATACACAATAAAAGCTGGAATATGTACCACACAGCAGTTATGTCTTTGCACAGTTGTTGGAAAACATGGTAAAGATCAGTGGAAAGGGCAGAGCATTATGAATAACACTGTTGTATTCCTTCATATGCTTTATTGTAAATCAGCCCAGTCAAAGCTATTCTCAGTGCATTTTTTACTGCTGGTTTGTGTGTCTATACAGTAGCTTACCCTGTATGGTATTTGTATCTGTGGTATGTCAAGTTATACAGCAGTAGTTAAGCCAAAATACAGGGAAAGTCAGAATCCTGGAATCCCTGTGTGTTCCCTGATTATAATGTAAAGCAGTTCCTTTGATATATTCTAAAAAAGTTTGATTTAAATAAAAGCTCCTACATTTAAAGTCTCTAAACTACTTCACAGCACTAGACAAATAGGCAGTACAACAGTACAGTACAAATGAAATTAAAACTGTAATCTCTCTTCATAATACAGTAAACAGACTTTATCACTGTCCCTTTAAAATAATATACATGCACAATCACATATGACAAAATGGATAATAGGGGCTCCAATAATCAAATTGTGCTTTAACGTTCCACTGGGCCACGGTTAATCAATTCATTCAGTCAGATATGTGAAAAACAAAACTCCTCACCAGACTCACAGACATCAATGTCTATATATCATTATAAGTAGTATAAGTTAAATTTAGGTGAACATGTTACTTGTAATGTGACCTATTGAATTCGATTTGCTTTAGAATATTCTTTGTGTTACAATAATTCAGAATTTTTTTTGTGGTAGCAAAGAAATGCATGAAGACAGAACAATGCAGAGTACTTAAAAATAAAAAAATAAAAAATAATGCATTCATACCAGATAAGACCAACCAATTTCTCTGACCAAAGTAGGGACAGTAAACACTTGGGAGACTATAGTGACACAGTGTATGAGAGTGCTTACTTCGCAAAAAGTCCTTCCAGCCCTCTAAACATGGGAGTCAACCTCAGGCACAGCAAACCAGAAAACGTCAGTTCAGTTTGCATGAGTGCTGTTATGAGAGCTGCTCCTTGTTCCTCAAATAGATACTAATCATTCATAATTCGGACAGGTAAGGGAGGCACAGTGTTCAAGAAGGTTCACAGTAAAGATGATCATTTGATGTAGCTGCACAGTTTTTCCTGTATCACTAAAAATATAATCCATCATATAATTAAAAATCCCTGTAATGCATTAATCTAGAGTGGCAAAGTTTCTGGTGTCAGCGATTTTTAAAATGTTACAGCAGTGCATACACTTGAGGAAAAAATAAAATTCATTACTTTGCATGTCATGTGTCATGCTTCTTGAAGATAAGGTTTAGACCAAAGACAGTCTTTGAACCAAATCGGTTTAAAATTGTGGATAGCTGTGCATGCTTTGGAAAATTTGTAATACGGTCTTATATTTTACCGTTATCACAATTACTCAAAGAATTAAACATTTCATTTGGAACAACTACAGTTGTCAAATCGGCAAATTTACTTCAAAATACTCTCTTTCACTCTGTAGTTTATCCTGCAAATCTTGTGACAAACAGTAGAATGCACAAGCAATTAATTATTCAATAACAGCATTTTGCGCGATTGAACAAGAGCTGAATTAAACCAGTTTGGGGTTTTTTAATCATCATAGTGCAAGAACAAAAAATGCCTGCTTGATCTGAATTTTAAACCTGCTTGTTTCGATTCACCTCAAGGTTTTATCTTTTTCAAAGATCTTCTGCTCCGAGAAGTCAGAGAAAGGAGCCTATTTTGTTTTAACTTGCTCAGTCATTGAGTTGGCATCTTGCCTGCATTGTGGGTAGAGGGCTCAATAATGACTAAGAGATAAATGTATGTAGTTCAAGCAAGCCAGACATCTCCATTAAACCTTAAGGAAATGGCCTTTTGGCATGAGGGCAGGTCAGATATGGGTGATAAATTTGGCAGGGAGGTTGTTTCAGTGGCATAAAAGTATGGACTGTAGTGTTCCATTGCTTTTGGATGGGTGGGGAGTGGAAATGAAAGCTCACTGCACTAGAATAACTCTCAGGAGGAAGACAAACCAAACAGAGAGCAAGATGGTGATAATCCAGCACACCGTTCTGCAGTGTCAGTTTCAGGTTCACACAATTTTCTACTCCAACACTTGCTGAAATACTGCAGAATGAAAATGGATGAACCAGTCAAATCCATGACTAGATCCTCTGTAAGAATTTATCAAGAGAAGGCTCTATTATCTAATGCTACAACATACGCTTCCCTACTGGTGGACCTTCATCTCAAGTCTTTTGAGTTCAAAAGTTCATATTTGGCAAGCATTTTATTCAGCTTTCCTCAGTGATGTGTCTCCAGCTCTACAACGGTCCACTCACCCTGAGCAGTGCTGCCTGGAGCCTCGGGTGAAAAGCTGCTCACAGACGTCACAGTGGCTGAAGGGGGTGTCAGAGGTGGCAACAAGTTGGGCCACAGGCTGCTTTCAAGGGGGCTGAGTGTCCCACCTGCTCCTCTGGGTAGCAGAAGAAGGGGCGAGCAACCATCACCTGCAAGCAGTAATGTCTGATTGATGAGCTGCTGGACAATGTCCACTTTCTTGCCCCAGTCAAACTCCAGAGGCGGAGGTCGTTCAGGAGATCCCAAGGGAGAAGGACTATCTTGGTCTGCTGCAGGGTCTGTCTCCTGAAGTTCTTGCTGGGAACCCTGAATAATAGACTCAGGGGAAGGTGTTGTGCATTGTGAATAAAGATCAGCGGATTTATTTTCTTCAGTGCATCTTTGCATGTCTTCTCCAGGGCACACAATAAAGGAGCTTATATCTTCTACTTCCTCAACCACTCCTTGTCCCTCCTCCTCTTCATCACTCGTTTCCACAGTTTCATAGATGGTGGTGAGACCTGATGAAGGAGAGAGGACAACTGGTGTATGCACCTTGTGTTTTTGCTGCTGTTGTTGTTCAAGTTCTTGTTGCCACTGCATGATCTGCTGTCGCTGCTTTAGTTCTTGCTCTTGCTGCTTAAGTTGCAACTCAAGTAAATTTCTCTTCTGTTCTTCCTCCTGCTGCTCCCTCTCATTCCTTGCTTGTTTCTCCTCTTCTTCTTGTCTCGCTTGTTCTCCATTACGTTTCTCCTGACGTTGCTGGATCTCATGAAGGTGCTGTTGGTGTTGCTCTAGACATCGGAGCTGCATGTTTGCCACCACATTTGGTATTCTGGGAGGGAGGTCAGTGGGAAGCCGTGGTGGCTGGGTCACATGGGGAGCACGTGGCCGGAGACGAAGTTTGGATGACATCGTCATTTGGATAGAAAGCAAGCCATTTGGTTGTGGTGGAAAATGGTAATTTCCTTCTGTGAATGAAGCAAAGGATCCAAAACATGTTAAAAAGGAGAGTTGCAATAAAGCAGAATGCAATAAAGCAATAATGTTATAGACTGCAGAGTGTGGTGAAGCAGAAAAAAGCATTGTGGGAAACAAAATTGTCAGATATAAGGTTAAACGATTTAGTGGAGAAGGAATGAACAAAATACATTTCGCACCTTGGTGACATGCTCTCAAAAATATTTTGTGATGGTTTTTGTGCAATAAAAGTGGCTACACCCTGTATATGCAGTAATCTAGAACTATTGTGAAGAGCAAACAAAAACAAGGAAATAAAAGCAGATGAGGTAAACAATCTCCCTTAATGTGACAAGCTGAACACATGCAAAAGTGAGCGCTCACCATGCACAGTACAATTCAGCATGAAGCAAACAGGTATTTTTTTTAACAATGAGAAAATATGACCCATAAATAGACCCATGCATAAAAAAATACTTTACACATAAGCCACCCCAGTGTACAGCATATTTCTTTGGTGAGGTGAGCATGCGTAAAGAAGAGGAAATACTACAGAAAAGTGCATTGTGCAAAGCAAGTCCAGTTTTGGGGATTAAGAATCACCCAGCATTGGGATTTATTGAAGTCCAATTAGTCCAGGTAAATATGTCAAACCAGGTCCTTTCAAATAGCTTCAGCTCAAACTGTTAATAATCAGAGAGTGATTAAAGCAGTTGCACCCAGTTAGTCCCAAAGTGGAAGGTGTGCAAAGTCTACTCCAGAAGCAGCGGTATCAAAATACAAAGATGGAGAACAAAAAAGGAGGTGGAGGACTTAAAGCACCTTGATAGAGGGTGAGATTCAGGAGGTTGATGGGGTCAGATCTTGTTTTTCCTCCTCTGGTTGGTAGGGAGTTGAGAGGAAGGCGGGGTCAAAAAGGAAGGGAGGTGGAATACAAGCAGAAGGAACATACTAGCATAGAATAAACACTCACCTTCTGCTGCAAGCATCCCGTTTTCTTTACATCATTTGCTTACAGAAGGTTCAACGTGTATTTGTGTGCAAGTGTATATGTGCAAGTTTACAATTTGGTATTAGTAGCTAACTTATGCCACAACAAATAAGTTAAGGGGAATAAATAAAATATTTAATTGATTATGACTTAAAAATGTGCTCTTATGATTTAACAAAATAAAATAATACCATGAATTAGTGTCTCAGCCTTATGTAGTAGTTTTACATGCTTCTTAATATTAAATACCTAATATTAACTCAAATGAATATACCATTGAAATCTTCATTTGTTACTTGGCTACAAATGTGTCCAATTTGCAACAGTCCATAGTGATGAACAGTGGGCATTAAAACAAATCTTGAAACTCAAACATCAAGAAACATACAGAGCAAAGAGAAATCATGTTAAATATCTAACCTTTATTTAATGCTAAGACATTACGTACTCCAAATAAACAAGACATAAAAAAGTAAGGGGTTAGCAAACCCTAAAGTGCAGAAGAGAGAAACATGTGAGGACAGGATATGGCAATGATGGAAAAGGGATGAAAGACTGGTATTTAGTTAATAGACAACAGAATACAAAAAGCAATGAATATGCATTTGTTCAGTAAAAAATAATTGGTAAATACACACAAAATATGTTGAAAGTCCATTAGATTGTTCATTTTTCATCAATTTCATCAATTACTTTTGTCATTTTGAAGACTCCACAAACAAATAATTTCATGCCAGTTCAGACCAACACCCATTATTAAGATTTAAAAAGAATAGTTGAGAAAAACAGTCACCTTTAGTGTAAATGGTAGTAGCTATTGCACATACAGGTTCTAAGCCATATACTTATAATGTAATTTTAATAGCTGTATCATATTGTGAATGTGGCTGAATGTGTGTTTTCATAACTGGTTAAAAAGACATCATTAACAGGGAAACCCCACGCTAAACAAAACCCTTATATAGACATGATATCAACAAGGTACACTGGAAGGTGGATTTTAAATGCGCACTCTATACGTTACCTGCCAGGGGACTATCAGTCTTTTCGCATATAGTGGAGTAGTAGAGATGCTGAGAGTCAAGATCTTCTTGGTGCTGTCGGGACGAAGGATCAATCAAGCCAGACTCTAAGGGTACAGCTCCCGCTACTGAATCAGGCTCAGGCAGCTCACTGGACTCTCCACACAGCATGTACTGCTGCTCTGGGTGAGACTGAAACTCTCCATGTTGGCTTTTAATAGGGTCAATCTTTTCCTCAGATGCAGTAGTGGGTATCAGGGTCAACTCTTTAAGAAGAGATGGATCCTTGGCCTCATCTGGGAGCTGCTCTTCATTTTCTAGAGAAAAGATGCCAGGACTCTTGCTGCAACTCTCAGCAGATGACTGGGCATTGGAGTTAGAGGTCATGTAGTCAAAGCCATAGGATGCGGCAGAAGTGGCAGACTGAGGGGTCTCACTACCACCACCATTCTCCCCACCCATTTCTTCACATTCCTCTAGAGTTGACAAGTTGCGGCCCGCAGGTGCTGTTCCATAGGCATTCCCAGTGCCAGATAGCTCAGCTTGAGGGTCACTGATCTGTATTTCACCTTCTGTGTCACTTGCCTCATCCTCCGTAGCTGATGAAGGAGATGATGGAGCAGTTGCTGGACCACCCAGTACATCAGCCGGAAGAGTTTCAGGTTCCTCTTCCTCATCAGCACGTTCAAGGTGGATGCCTAGATCCTGCATGATGTCTGGCAAGACAGTGGGGACAGGGTTTAGTGGTTCTGGCTGGAGCTCCACTTTAGAATGAGTCTCATTAGTTGCCAATAAGTTGTTGTCTTTCACCTCTTCTGGTAAACTTATGTCTCTGTTACTGTCAGATGCTAGGCCAGGGTCACTGGAAGTATCAGGCTGGAACTTGCAGGTTTGAGAGGGTGTCAAGCCTGGTTTGGGGCTAACATTCCCCTCTGCAGCAGATATTGGGGCTTGATGAGGTGTGCAAGGTGGAGGCTCCAAAAGGTTTGATGGCGAGCCCCTTTCAGAGCTAACATCAAGTCTTGCTTGAACAGGTGTCTGTGTTGGGGTTTCTGGGTCTGCTTGCCAACATTCAGAGGAAGGACTTGAAAGAAGTGTAGAGGCAGGTTGTGGTGGCTGGGCCCAGGCATCTGCAAAGCAACTAGGCTGGTTCCACTGGGATGCTGGAGGGGCAGAATGAACCAAAGGAGGAGGCTGGATTCGGTTCAAGTTGTCTAATCTATAGTCTTCGGTCAAGTCATCCTCATCTGCATTCCCATAACTTTCAAGCCCACTCTCAGTAATGCCCTCGCTTGCCATTTCTACATCTTCATCCTCTTCATCCTCGTCGTCATGATGCTGCCTATGAGAGTCCTCTGCTCTTTCGGACCCAACCTCCATGTCACAGACTCTATCATCATCATCATCATCATCTTCATTAGTAAGAATATCAGAAACCTTCTCAAAGTCAGGGGACCCAACAGATGCACCTTCGCCATCAGCTCCTTTAAGGCTTGCATCCCCTAGATCATCCATGCTCTCCGTGCCTTCCAGGACGCCTGGAGCACTTAGCTCTGACGCTCCCTGCTGGCTGCAACTCACATCCTCAGAGTCAAGCTCAGAGAGCAAGGCCCCTGCCCGCCAAACGGAGCCGGCAAGCCCAGCTGACCCAGGTCGAGACTCTTCAGTAGGCTGGGTGCCACTCATTTCTGACAGAGACACTTGTTGACTGCCTTCCCTCTCTTCTTCTTCCACATCTTCATAACAGTCACTGTTAATCCGTTCAGCTTTTTCAGCCACCTCTACACCAGAGGACACTATGGTAGCTGCAGAGTTATCAAATTGTGAAGCAGTTAAGCTTTCCTGCTCAGTTGCTTCCTGTACAACTGGTGCCTCAGCCGCAATAAGCTTTTCATCAACTTCTCCAGATACCTGCTCTTCAGATTCCTGATCGACTACAGATGATGTCAGACAAGCCACTTCAACAGAACCAGCTTCTATTAAGGCCTCTTGAGCCTCTGGCTCCGTGTTAGAAATATCCAGCACAATTTGAGAGCTGACATTAGTGACCTGCACATCTACCATTTCCTGAACACCTAAAGAAGAGGCTGGAACATCCAGAGAACTCTCTACAGTTGGAGTAGCTTCAGGCCCTGAAACAGACTCTTCCCTGGCTATGGCTGCAGCTGTTGCTACAGCAGTAGCTACTGCAGCTGCTGAAAGTTGCACAGGTTCTGCTGCAGGATCTTTATCATCAGGTTTTGTTGCAGGATCTCTATTATCAGGTTTTGTTGCAGGTTCTGTATTATCCGGCTTTCCTTTGACAGACTGTGCTGGTTTAGCTGGCTGAAACTTCGCACTGACCATGCTACCTGGTTGTTTGTGACTGGGATGTGCTGCAATGTTCTTGCCTGATGCTGGCCGTGAGGGATTGTTTCGTGGACTAGAAGGCACCTTAAGTGTTGGTAAACTTTTTTTGTCATCTGGTTTGGGTTGAGGTGCTTTGATGCTAGGTGGAGGTCGTTTGGTAGCTGCAGCTGGTTTTGGAGCCTCTGAATTTGAAGGCTTGCTGGCAGCAGATCGGGATATTGAGGGAACGGTTTTTTTCGCAGGTGCCGTAGTGCTTGTTTTTCCAACATCTACAAATGACAAATAGATGTTGATAATATGGAATGAACAAAAAATTAAGCAGTACTTTTCCATAAGTAATGTATATACATATTCCCATGAATGGTACGCCACCTTTCCGAGCAGCTGATGCTGTAACAAGGGGTTTAGTAGTAGTGCTTGTTCTAGGAACTGCAGAAGTAGATGTAGTTGTCCCAGTTACTGTTCTTCCTGTAGCTGAAGTAGCAGTTGGTCGTGGGGCAGAACTTCCAGTCGCCCTAAGAGAAAACAAAGAAGAAAAAGTCGTTGTGAGCAGCTTTGAAAAAGAGTGATGCCTGTTTGATGTTTGCCATTTTATTTTAGATATTGTGTTTTACATATTCAGATGATGTTTGATGATGTTTCATTAGAATGCCTTCCAAGATATTGTTTTTTGCCGGCACATGCATAAAATAGTTTCTTGTCAAATCAGCTTCCTGCCTTGGGTAGTAAATCTGTAGTCTGCATGCGTACCATAAAGCAATCCACTGGGGCCATTCATCAACTAATGCATCTACATCCCATTTCTCTAACCTGAGAGAAAATGACTTGGGTAGGGAGGAAACAGAAAAAGGAGGGGAGAAATGGTGTGATGAAGGGAGTAGAAGTGGGGATGGGTAAAGTGTTTTGTAGAAGTGGGGATGGGTAATGTGTTTTGTAAGTGACCGCATTAGGGAGAAATGGATGATAATCAATTTTTCTTTCAGTCTACCCTACACTCCCTTAATGTAGTTGCTTCTTAGTTCCCCCTTTCATGTTCTCATACGGGAGAATTAGTGATGAGAAGATTGCTTGCATCATCTCACATGCTTGGTTACTTGCAATTTAATAAATGCTTTTAGTCTTGCAGCCTTGCAGTTCACAAATTGCCCTTAACTAGATGACTGACAGTCATATTTGCCCTAACCGGAACTTACACTCTAATAGGATATGATAAAGTTCTCACATACAGCCTGCTTTATTTGGACAAGGGCACAACAGGGTATGCATCACAGAAACACGCTAGCGAAATTGCTATGGTCACAGTTCAGTGCCACTGTACATTCATACACCTGTATGCGGTGTTAAAAGCTACTAACCTAAATAACAGGCTACAACTAATCATACCTGATAGTAATAAGACAATAATGATCAGTAATATGTAGGGGTAATATGTGGGGTTGGGTGATGAGACCAAAATCTCATATCACGATATGAGTAATTTTATTTCACGGTAACGATATACATAGACAAGTAAACAGTCAGCAATTAAATAAGAATAAAAACCTAATTACAAGCAATAGGACAAAAAGACTATAGTAGAGCAAATAAGAAATGCTGCATACATTTTATAAAGTAGCCTAATCAAATAGGCCTATATAAAAACAGTGCATATTCTTCACCGTGTAAATTAAATATATTTCTTCTGATTAAAGTTACGGCGTGTTAGAACGAGCCGTTTTAGGTAGGCGTGGTTAACTCTCAACTTTTATAAAGAATATCTCTTTGGTTTTGAGACTTTAGTGTTTGCAACTTTACAGATCTTCTTTATGCACCAAGAGCTTGTAACACTCCAAAGAGAAAGGAAAAATTGAAAATCGCAGCATATGACCCCTTTAAATCAAGAGCAGTGATAGACTTTCTCTCTTTTGTTGTGTGATTTTTGATTACATGAATGACAGACAGCAGGAATATTACACTGCTGTCACTTTAAGAGCTGCCCGGATCCAATATACTGTTACACGTTTTCTTTCTCAGCTGTTCGCTTTCACTTAAGAACTAAATTACTGTTTTTACGAGGATACTTGCAAAGACTGGCATTTTAACTGTTTAATGCCTATAAAGCGGCATAAAGAACTCTTTTCAAAAGTCCTGCGATCTATGAGCACCGCTGTCACTGCTGTGTTTGCGTCCACTGATTGCGTTTCAACTGCTTAAAATCACTTGTTTTTAAACTGCAATGCTTAAAAACGTGTGCAAACTATACATTTTCGTGACCACGTAGCACAGCAACGTCATGTGCTAATAACCACGATAGAGATGATGGTCCAATCCAAAATCTCTACAAATTTCGACCAATTAATTGTCTACCACAGGGTTGGGAATCGAAAGTCGATTCCAGTTCCAGAATCGGATACTTAATGTCAGTAATCAGATACTTGTAAAATTTAAATTCGATTCCACCTTTCGATTCCGGTGAGCCCTCCTTTTTTTCTTCTTCATCTGTGAGGACCCGACCTGATGATCTGGCAGGACCTTGCTGGCTAATCTAAGTGCTCTGAAGTTTGGCTACACTTGTGATCAGAAGCCGAAAAAGCCAAGTATAATATCTGTGATGAGCTAAACATGTTGCAAGAGAGGTGTCACCAACAACAAGACAAAGCACTTTAATTTAACAGATTGTTAAAGATCATGAACATGATTCAAACAACAACGTGACTATTCCTAAATTACAATGATTCATCCGTTTCATTCCTCAACCTTTGGCGTGTGCGATCACAACGTTGTGATGACTCTTGGTTTGTCCGTGCAGCGTACGATCACACCAGTGTGATTTGAGCATTTAAATCTGCGTTCGCGCTGCCGCTGACCTAAAGAGAGCAGCTATCATGTATATATTTTTTCATATATTTTTAAGTCATTGAATCTTTTTTCTGACAAAGTCATTGAATCATTCATTCATAGATTACAGTTTCTGCACTCTTTAGAGTGTTACAAGCTCTTGGTGCATAAAGCAGATCTGTAAAGTTGCAAAGACTAAAGTCTCAAATCCAAAGAGATATTCTTTATAAAAGTTAAGTCAACCACGCCTACCTAAAACGGCTCGTTCTAACACGCCCCCACATGTCACGATGTGGGAAGATTTGCATAACACTGCCCAAATGTTCACGCAAAGAAAGAAGGCGTAACTTTTATTCTCACTGTAGTATGTTGCCGCTGCCGCCATGTCCTGAAGACGCTGTGTGCTTCGTTGTGAAAGCGAAGCTACTTTGTTTGGCCTTCCAAAAGAGGACGATATC